AAATGCAGTTGCAATCCATTTTCTTTGAATTTTCCTTCCTTTGCTGAATTTGTTAGAATCAGACCCAAAGTCCCCCGAGGCAGGAATCTTTTAATTCCCTATATAATTCTTTTGAGTGGTCATGTGTTGGTACCAGAATCTAAAACTAACTTTACTTATAAAATTTCATTTCACCCCTAACTGGTGTGAAGTTCCCTGAAAAGCCATACTCCTATTGGAGAGATGGATTCATTGTGCTATCTTTGGTCTCCTTATTACCGTCTTTATATGAGTATCAGTAAAAACTTGGGAACAAGCGCCCATTAATTACCAAATTAAGAATATCATAAGATTGCATCTGAAACCTACAGCAGAATTTTCTCTGCTTTTCTACACCTCGCCTATCTGCTGTCCCCACCAATTGGTTGAAAAGCAATTTGTTAAAAGTGATGGTTTGGTGCTAATTTTTAGTCTGTGATTATCAAAGTTCATAGACCCCCACTTCCACATGGGAACATGTCATTTGTGACCATCTGAATATATGTTCCCATTCTAAAGTCACTGCAATGTGGCTCAGAATAAACTACCTCATATTCCTTTGAAGTATCAGCATCTTTTGCCTCTACAGTGGTTAATGTTCTGCAAGGAGAGGAAGTGATATGTGTCAAGGACATTGTTTATTTTTATTTTAGACAAGGTCTCATTGTTGCCCTGGAACTCAGACTAGCTTCAAACCTGGAACCAGGCTGGCTTCAAACTCATCAAGCTGCCTCTGCCTCCTGTATGCTGGGATTAAATGCATGTACCAACACATCCACTTAAGAACATAGTATTTTATATACACAATATCCTGCAATATATGTCCCAACACTCTGCAATAAAATCTTTTTCTATTTTATAGAAGAGACTCTAAGAGAGAAAGTGGCCCGGTTAAACCAAGGTTTGCTGATGGTAAACTCTTATGCCTTTTCTTTAATTATTTGCCTCACAAGTGCACTGGCAACCCCTGGGACCTATGCTCTATTGACTCAGCTCCTTAACTCCTTTACAGTTTCAACACCATTTAGACTAAACTCTATGGTAGGCCAAGGCAAGTGTATTCCTGCCTGGGCATAGTGGCACAAGCCTTTAATTCTTCCTCGGGAGGCGGAGGCAGGTGGATCTCTGTGAGTTCATGGCTAGCCTGGTCTATAAAGTAAGTTCCAGGACAGCGAGGGCTATGTAGAGAGACCCTGTTTTGTTTTGAAGTGAAATCCAAAAAATAAAAATACAAAAAAGAAAGAAAGAACAAATGTATCAAGTATATTAAAGATGTATAGACCAATACACTAACTTGAAGTAATTAGGACCCCACATTAAATATTCTGAGCATGAATCTCTGGTGGTATAACGCAGCAGAAATTTTCAAATGGTCTTGCATCATGGCTCTGGCAGACTGAGGAAACAGCCAATGGGTCTGTTTAGTGCACTGGGAGATCTTAATATACATACATGTTCTACTACCTCATAAGAACTATTTTAAAAGCATGTAGCAAGAAAAGAATTTTTACTTCACGTTAAAATCACCTCAGTGACTTACCAATGGAGGTGTGCATCTGCTGGCCAGCACACCACAACTTAAGCCTTGAGACGGCTACTATGTTCCTTCCCTTTCAGGCTCTGCCTCGACCTCACTTGACACTTGTCACTTTATCACATCAGTGGCCAAACTCCACACTCACAAAGGTACGGTATCATCAAAATATCACAGATAACAAAAATGCTGAAATGGGATCATTTGTCATTTATATGTGTGTGGTGTGTGTAGTGCACTGCGTGTGTGGAGGTTGGGTCCTGGGGTCCTGGAGACCAAACTCAAGTCATCTGGCTTGGTGGCAAACATCTTCACTCGCTGGCCCATCTCGCTGGCCCCCAAATGGAGCTGTTGTGAGCTTGCAGTTTGCGTGACATTTGCTAAATACCGTTTCCTTCAGAACCTGAAAACACCTGAGGTGCTCCTCAGCGAACTCCCTGTGGTTCCTAGGGCACCCCGGGGACCAAGCAAGCCTTTTTGATATGCATATTCGTTTTCATTGCATACACTTAAGATATACCTGTAGTAATTTGGAATGGTTTCTCCAGTCAAGCATGCTGACAGACCTATCTCATTACACTTCACCTTTGCTCAAGCCTGAAGAACGTCTTCTTTCCTTTTTCCTTTCCCATCTCACTTCCCTTCACTCCCTGTCTTATTCTTCATTTTTAACTATTTGTTTTATGTCAAACTTCTTAAAGTTCTGTTTGTAACCTGAACTTTCCGTCCCCGGCATCTTACTCACACAGAAACGCTGACCCACACCGAAGTCAGCAGGCTGAGGATGGAAGCACGTGTTGGACAGCTGTTTACCACGTTTTCTCAGCACAGAGCACGGTTTGGACTAAGTGTTTACATTCTCAGGTGGACCATTTCATGTTTGGCGAAGCAGGGAGTAGGGAGGGACAAGGGGAGGAAGGAGAAAAAGAAAAACTTTAACCCTTTAAAACGTGTATTGAGTTGTGGAGTAGAATATGATGGTTTGGAGGCTGGGCTCGCCTAGGACCCAAGCATCTTCACAGTCAGTTCTAGATACACGAATGTTAGCACAGATCAGGTTGAGGTCGAAGATGAGAGGAGGGAGCAGGATGGTCCCGAACTGGGCCCATTCGAACCGTGTTCCAGTTCTGTTTCTTCTCTGAGTTGCTCTGTGCAGCTTTGGGCAAGACAGTCTCGTGAATTCTCTATCTTTCTTCTCATCGATGTGATAGCAACACCTATCTCAGTTTGTTTCTTCAGAACTGAATACCACTGATAAAATGTACCTTGTGTCTAGCACAGTATGACAGTATCCAAATCTTTATTATTAAAATAGGGCTGGGGCCACTGCAAGGGGCTGGCAGAGAGAGGCCTGCTGAAGACCTCGAGGGACAGAGGAAACACAGGCTGGTTGCCTTCCTACCGCCTGCTTGTGGGTCAGAAACAGGTGCGATCAGTTCAGTGGCTATGACAGCTGAACTCAAATACTGTGATGCGGCGATTCCGCTCTTCAGTGTACATTCAGCACACACTTATTTCTGTGTGTTAAAGCATCTTCAGAGTAGCATGGCTCAAAATGAAAAAGGTCAGAAACAAATATAGAATGGGCAAACACCAGGTATTTGGGGATAGAATACTATTCAGCAATAAATGTCAATGTGTCACTGCTACATGTGACAGCTGGAATGAGGTTCACAATGATAAGCAAAAGGTAGACATGAAATAGTTTAGCTGTATTTATGTAAATGCCTCAAACAGGCAGTATTAGGCATAGTGGCAATGGTTGTGTTTTCTGTGGTGGGATTAATGGGTGGGAAGTTGTCTGAGTGGCCTCCTGGTGCTGGCTTAAAATATAACTCACTTTGTGGAAATCCTTCCAAGTTAAAATTTCTTACATGAAATTTTACTTCAGTAGTATATCTCTCTTTTATTTTATTTTATTGTTATGGCAGGGTTTCTCTGTGTAGCCCTGCCTGTACTGGATCTTGCTCCGTAGCCCAGGTTGGCCTTGAACTCACAGAGATCTGCCTGCCTCTGCCTCCTGAGTGCTGGGATTAAAGGCGTGTGTCACTACTTCCCAGCTTATGTTTCCTTCTTAAAAGAGGAAGGCCACAATCACATGTCCTACCTTGGCCGACTGTTGGTATGAGTTGGGTCATGCTACGGACACAGCCCTTAAGGCCCAGCAGCTTACACAGCAGCGTATTTCTTGCTTGTCGACGCACGTGTAGCTGGTCCTTCTGTGGACCCAGGGACACAGTGGAGTCACAGTCGTGGAGAGTCCTGAGTGGAGGAACCACCCTTTGAGGGTTGTTGGGGGTCAGCAGGGCTACTGAGTATTTGGGTGTGTCATTCTCTCATAGGCAGGGAAAATGAGGGGGACTAGAAGAAAGCAGAGGCTTAGCGGGGAGGGATGGATGGGGATGAGGGAGGAAGAGAGGCAGGGGGAAGGGTAAGTAAGGAGAAAAGTGCTTCTAACAAGCTATGGGTGTAAAGCTCTTCTTCTGCCCTATGTAGTGTGGCCCTAGGCTTGGCAAAGTAATCTGACGTCCGCTAGGTTTTTATTAGGTAAGCACCACGCTGGCGCTCACTGCTTATCAACAAGGACTACGCCTATAAAAGGCAGTCAGCTGCTGCTACACCTCCCAGTTTCTGAGACCATGGAGACAGGCTCCCAAGTCCTGCTGCAGCACCCAGAGGGCACAGGTAGATCTTTGCACGTCTCAATCTTAGTGTACATGATGTGTGAGTGTAGCTGTGCACACATTTCAAACGTGTATGAAGGTCAGAGGACAGCTCAAATGTCACTCTTTGCCTCGCTTGAAACCGGGGCCTTGCTTTCTAATGCATACAGCAGGCTGTCTGGCTGTGAGATTCTGGGAACTCTGTTTCTGCCTTCCATACTGCCACAGGAGCTGGGCCTATCGATGCACGTGATGATGTTACATCTGGTTTTCCGTGGGAGAGTCTGGGAATCTGGACTCGGGAGCTTAGGTTTGCATGGCAAGCACAAGATCCACGAGGCCCGATCTTTGACTGCCCTTTAAGAACTGGCTGGTTGCTTTCCCTTTCACTGAAGGTTTTAATCAGAAACTTATTCCTTACAGATGCTTCATTTAGTTACATTGTAAGCACAGATTTTGACTGAGAAAGCAAAAAGAAGAGGGGCCAGAGGCAGGCCTGCAGGTACCCTCAACACAATATGATGCTTCTTCATGGAAGCACATGGCAGACTTAGGGGAATTATGCAAGTAATGAGTGCTCATGTGTGTGTATTTGCATATGTACTTTTTTTGGCCAACTGATGACATTAAATTTTAGAATGGGCTTTTGGGTGGCACATGTAAGGAAGAACTAACAGGGGATGGTCGAGAGATGAAAACAACCCTATGGTATCTGGAGGTACTTACTTTGTTTCCCTTGGCCTACCCAATCCAAATAACTCATTTAAATTCTGATAAACACAGGGTTTGCTTATTGCACCAATTCCTTTTATTGTCAAAGAAGTCATTTCAGTAGGAAAGACTGATGATGTCCGGTCAGACGCACAGGAAAGGAGCGTGGTTTGTTTGAAAGTTTGTGGGCACTGCAGGCATGGATTCCTCACATTTTCTGAAAAGCTAGGAAGAGTCCTGTAAGTGGCAGACTTGGGTCCAGGTTCCCAAAATAGGTTTCTATATAAACTTTTTAGGAACACATGTGCTGTGAAGAAGATGTCTGTACCACGGGGACTCCAAACACAGCCTCAAGAATGTTTATTAAGGACTAGATGTGCTTCCACACCAGGAAAGGGTGGCCAGAGCCACTGATGGCCAGGGCCACTGGGGGCCAGGGTCACTGATGGCCAGGGATACTGTGCACTTAGGTTGGGACTTAATGACTGGAGATTAAAAGAAAAAAAAATGCAACCACTTGCATTTGTTGTTAAAAAGTCAAAAGGTGTGTGATGAGAAAGACATGATGTTCCAGAAGCTGTGATTTGAGGTCAAATGGCTCAGCTCAATGTGAGACAGGGTGAGCCTCAGTAAGAAGGGATCCAGACAAGGCGGCATGACCAGTTCAGATGACTGCCTTTGAGAACTGGTGTGGCTGCTTTCCCGAAGGTTTTCATTAGAAACTTACTCCTTATGGATGCTTCATTTAGGCATGTTGTAAGCATAGACTCTGGCCAGAAATGCAAAAAGAAGAGCAAGGAGAGCCAGGCCTGCAGCGACCTTCAATGCACAGTCACGTTGGGACATCTGCAGCACAATTCTGGAATATGCCGAGTCATGCCGAGTTGCAGCACAGGTGTCTGAAGTTGAATTCAGATGATTCCCAAACCTATTTCTGAATTCCTATAAAGAGAGGAACAGGTAAGAAATAATTTTCAGAAAAAAAATTTCCTGCAGCTATATCACTATGGTTCCTTATCCTTTCAACACAGACACATTTGGGTGCCCTTTGGGGTCCAGGTAGCCCCAAGCTTGGTATGGATAAGTTGGCTTCATTCCCTGAAGATTAGAACACAGTCTTGTTTTTTTAGACTACACGGAAGACATTTTGTTCATCAAGCACACACTTGAGGGCAGACATTCCAATGTGGTCTGCCATTGGAAGAAGGCTGTGCCCATCTCCAGGTAGCCTATAAAGGTCTGAGTGACCAGAGTGACCCAATCCATAAGAGTCCCCTCCATTTACCCTGGTGTGCCAGACACAGAAATGCCTGGACAATCCAGTTTGAGGAGAATGCAAGGGGTGAATCAACATGTCTGCTCTGCTTTTTGGAGAGGTCTCTATGAAGCAAGGCTTCTAGTCTGACATGGGAAAAGTGGACAGAGGAACATTGCTACTCTCATGGCAGTTTTTTTTGTTTGTTTGTTTGTTTTTTTGGTTTTTCGAGACAGGGTTTCTCTGTGTAGCTTTGCGCCTTTCCTGGAACTCACTTGGTAGCCCAGGCTGGCCTTGAACTCAGAGATCCACCTGGCTCTGCCTCCCAAGTGCTGGGATTAAAGGCGTGCGCCACCACCGCCCGGCATCATGGCAGTTTTAATCTTTCAAAGTACATGTTGTATCTACTGTATGAGATTTTTCACATTATATACCTCCTTTCAAAACAATGTCCCCATACAGCATGGACACCCCTGCTGGGACCAATGGAACGTGTGGATAGGAGGATCACAGAGGACGAAGGAGAGGCGCAACACGGCAGAGGCAGTGCAGCATGTGTTGGCATAAGCACAGCTGTCCTGGGATTCTCTTGGGCCTTCCCTTCTGAGCAGAATCTTGAGCACCTTTGTCTACTGTGTGCAAGTGCTCCTCCCCACTGCGAACACCGGCTGGTGCCTGAGAGTGGAGAGGAGTAGAGGCACACCTGGGTACAGATGGAGTGGGACAGACTAAAGACCGGAAGCCGTCTAATTAGGACAAGGGCAGACGGGCAAAAAGAGCTGAATGACACCTAAAAAAAATAGACGCAATGAATTGAGTATAAGGCACAGAAATTTGGAGTCTGAAAAAAATGGCCCTGTGGCTAAGAGTACTTGCTGTTCTTGCAGAGAACCAGGGTTCAGTTCTCAGCGCCCACATCAGGCAGCTCACAACCACCCATAACTCCAGCACCAGGGATCTGACACTTCCTTCTGGACTCAGAGATTACTGCATTCATGTGCACAAACTCCACATAGACATACACACATACATGTAATTTAAAACAGAACAGAAATGTAGAAATGAAGACAATGTTTATGATCCAATTTCCAAGCTTCTGTTTATACCTGATTCACGTGGAAGAGCCCTTGCTTACACTGTAGGAGACTGACTGGGAACTTAACCAGGGTGATGTTCTCAACTCCAAATGTAGCCTTTGGTTCTGCACTTCTCAGGCATTTGGACCCATGCTGCCCTGCTGATCTCTATGCACTGGGAGTCTTTATCAGGGAGCTACACCCTCCAGGAGACAGCTCTTCTGTGAGGCTAGCTTGTGTGGTGTTTGGTACCAGCTTCCACTTCAACTGACTGAAGGAGCTCTTAAGAACAGTACTCATAATGGGTTTGTAGTTTTTTTTTTTTTTTTGGTTTTTCGAGACAGGGTTTCTCTGTGTAGCTTTTGCGCCTTTCCTGGAACTCACTTGGTAGCCCAGGCTGGCCTCGAACTCACAGAGATCCGCCTGGCTCTGCCTCCTGAGTGCTGGGATTAAAGGCGTGCGCCACCACCGCCCGGCGGTTTGTAGTTTTTAATAATTATGAGTTATTTGTATGAAACTGCTATCAAACCTGGAAGAATGTATTGATGTATCCATTGATGTGTGTATTACTCTTGGTAACTTGGGCATATGTCCATCAAGTAACATTGCCTCCATGTGTCATGTGACTCAACTCACTCAAATTCCATTCTATAACCATACCTTTGGTAATTATGTTCAGAGCTAGCTATGTATACTGGGGATGATGGGTTGTATTTTATACGAAGCACTGGCAAAGAAAAGGTCATTCTCAGCCTAATGAACTTCCACGGTTGGAATTTATCATAATGTTGGTACCAACAAGGCAGACTTTGTTAACCATCTAATTTCACACCTTCTTTTTCCTCTTTCCTGTTTGAATATGTTTTAATATTTATTTCTTCCTGGGCACAAACTTCCTGCCTTCTCTTGTTTCTGCTTAGTCATGTTGAAAAGTCCTTCTCCCTTGTCCAGAAGAGAGCCAATACTGTGGGAGTCTTTTCATTCTTTTCCTTGGTCTCCAGTCTAATTTCTACCACAGGGTAAAACCAACCTTGCCCCAGATCCCCCAAGTGGTAGTGGCCTCTCAACACTTAGTGGTTGTTTGTTTTTGAGACAAGGTCTCATGTAGCCTCATCCTGCCTTGAACTCCTGATCCTCTTCCTTCTACCTCATAAGTGCTGGGACTATTGGCAAGAGCCACCATGTCTGCCTGGTTTGTTTTTCTTTCTTTCTTTTTTTTTTTTGTTTTAACTTTCTCTTTTTCTCGTGACAACTTAAATGATGCCGTTAATGTTTAAAGTATAATTCAGTCTATTCATTTTGAAGCATAGTGATAGCCTCAAAGTTGCTGGGTACAGCTTCTGGTGCAATGAAACTCTCAATGGTTGGATCTCAGAGACCTACACACTGACTTTGAGCAGCTCAAAACAGAAGTAAGGACAGCACCTACATACGGCAAGCTCAGTGAGAATGTAGGCTCTTCCAGCTTAAGAGACAGGAGGTATGAACTCTTCAAAAGTGGCACAGATGAGGAGTGTGGGGAGGTGGCCCCAAGGGACTCCACAGTCCTGGCTGCTCCCACACTCTGTGGCACACACTGCTGAAGGAGAGGGTCCCAGCGCATACTGCTGTGAAGAACCACCACAGTTCCTGTGGACAATTGACAAGAGAGAAGTGTCCTTGAGTAGGTTACCAAGTATTTATAGCAATGACTGGTTTGAGGACAAGGACTCAGGCCCCCACACTGCTGCTGTGGTAGCCAGCTTCGATAGTGGTGTTTATTTAGTATTATTTAAAATAATACTTTAAAAGTCCCATTACGGGATTAGAGACATAGTACAGCAAGCACCCTAGGGAGAATGCTGCACACACCAGGCCTGGCTGAAAATGACAGTGTCCTCACACTTGTTCCTCTGGCCTGCTCTATGTTCAGACTCACTGACCATGGTCAGACTACAGAGAGACCATACCATGTTAGAGTGCTCTATAAGAATCAAAAGCTAAGTAGCAAACCAACACCCCAAGATATATCTTCAGGAGAAAGCTGCTTACTGAGAAGCTGCTCTGGTCAAGTAAGAGTCACCTGATCTGTAGGATGAACAAATGTAAATGGAGAAACACAAGGTAACATGGCCTCTCCAAACAAGAACAAGATGCAAGGAACCTGAAATGGAAGACAGATATGCCAGATGAAGAATTTAAAAGAACAATGATAAAGAGCACCTCAAGGCCTTGCATAAAACGAGTCGAAAGATCAGAACAGAAGTAGATGAAACACATGAAGACAGTGCAGACAGAAAGCCTAATGGCCCAAGTTTGATCTCCAGGACTCAAAAAGTAGGAGAGAAATTGTGTCTGAAAATTGTTCTCTGTCCTCCACATGTGTGTAGTGGCACACATATGCATGCACACACAATAAATAAAGAAAAAACAAGAGTAGTTGATCCTGGATGCAGATGATGGGGTTCTATACGTAAGAAAATCTGAAACTGTTAAAACTGATACATTCAGTAAGTAGCAGGATGTTGTTCTTATAAGTAGCAGGATCTTGTTCTTCTATACATCAGTAATGAGTTTGAGGGAAAAAAAATCAACAAAGCAGTCCCATTCACACATAGCTACAAAATATTTGGGGATAAACTTAACCAAGGCTATGAAATTTCTCTGAAATGAAAATGACAAGAAACAAACAAACAAATGAAGAGACCCATATACACACAACCTCCTGGGTTTTTAGTTTGGAAGAATTAATGTTGTTAAATGACCATACTATCAAAAAGAATACTGAGACAATGAAATCCCTGTCAGAACTCAACTTTCTTCATAAAACAAGAAAATAATCTTAAAAGGCCCTAAATAGCCAAAGCTACAGTGAACAAACAAGAACAAATTTGGAGGCATAATTTCCTGATTTCAAAACATACTACAGAGCCACAGTCATCAACACAGCATGAAACTGGCAGAAACATCAACTAAATCTCTGAAAATGTCCATTGGAGAAAAGATAGCATCTTTAATAGATGGTCCTGGAAAAATGGACATCCACATGGAAAACACTGAAATTTAACCACAATCTCTCATCTAGTAACAAAAACCCAAACAAGCAAATAACAAAACTCAACACAAAACATATTAAAGACCTAAAAGTAAGACTTGAAACTCTAAAATTACTTGAGGAAAACATAGTGGTAACAATTCAATATACTGGTGCAAGGGATGATTTTCTGGACAGGGCCTCAAGATCACAGGAAACAAAAGCCAAAACTGACAAATGGGGACATCAAATTAAGAGGTTTTTCAGCAGCCTACAGAATGGGAAAAGATCTTCACCAACACCACATCTGACAGAGGGCTGATTTCCAAAATGTATAAAGAACTTAAGAAACTAGACATCAAAAGCTCAAGTAATCCAATTAAAAATGGGGTACAGATCTAAACAGAAAATTCTCAACAGAGGAATGTCAAATGGCTGAGATAAGCTTAAAGAACTGTTCAACATTCTTAGCCATCAGAGAAATGCAAATCAAAACAACTGAGATTCCATCTTATACCTGTGAATGGCTAAGACCAAAAACACAATGAAAGCTCATGCTGGAGAGGATGTGGAGCAAGGGGAACACTCCTCCACTGGT